GGATAGATAGATAGATAGATACACAGATATAGATAGATACACAGATATAGATAGATAGATAGATAGATAGATACACAGATATAGATAGAGAGATAGATAGATAGAGAGATAGATAGATAGATAGATATGGATGGATGGATGGATGGATGGACAGACAAGATAACAGGTATAGTTAAGCAAGGATGTACATTCCTCCATATATTCACACATTTGTTGTTGTGTGGGGATGACACATGGATTCCTCTCGTCTTTACAGCAAAACCGAGAGCAGTGAAAGAGAAAGATCAGACGCATGAGAGAGACGATGAAGAGGATCAGGACATCAGACCGGTGAGACACAGACACTAACCTACCGAACTAAACCTAGTTAGCTGCCTCTAACCCTCTGCTAGTCTTCTGCCAGTTTAGACCAAGGTTTTATTTGTATTTATTTGTTTATTTTATTGTTACTTAATCAGAACGATACAAAATGTATTACTTTTTTGCCACTTGCTATATAGTATATGAACACAAAATAAAAATAAAAAAAATGAGAGAAGGCTATATGGCCAAAAATGACCTTCACTGGAAATTAAAAGGAAATAGGAAAAATAGGAAAATATAGAGCAACTTTTTGGATTCAATCTGCAAATCAGCCACGATGAAGCAGTCTTTAGCGATATATAAATATATATGCACATGTAAAACCTAAAAGTAAGTACTCTTTATAAGCAACTAAAGAATGCATTATTCGTGATTATATTTATTAATAATTAATTGTAATTAATAATTATATATAATGATTTATAATATACATATTATAATTCATATACATAAATTACTCATTTTTTTTTAACCTAAACACTATATTAATTTAAAATAATATGATTTTTTTCTAATATTTTCCCCCGGTCTATATGTCTCTGCATCTGCTAAATGATTTTTTTTTATTCCCAGTGAATAGGAATTAAAATTCCCACCCGAGTGACTCTACTCCAATAACAGACCATGCAAAATACCAAAAGATATTTAAAATATTGCAAAGTAACGTTGCAACCTTGCAAACAATAATAAAATCAGAGAAGGACTTTAACTGTAAGCGACAATGAGAGAGACGATGAAGAGGATCAGGACATCAGACCGGTGAGACACAGACACTAACCTACCGAACTAAACCTAGTTAGCTGCCTCTAACCCTCTGCTAGTCTTCTGCCAGTTTAGACCAAGGTTTTATTTGTATTTATTTGTTTATTTTATTGTTACTTAATCAGAACGATACAAAATGTATTACTTTTTTGCCACTTGCTATATAGTATATGAACACAAAATAAAAATAAAAAAAATGAGAGAAGGCTATATGGCCAAAAATGACCTTCACTGGAAATTAAAAGGAAATAGGAAAAATAGGAAAATATAGAGCAACTTTTTGGATTCAATCTGCAAATCAGCCACGATGAAGCAGTCTTTAGCGATATATAAATATATATGCACATGTAAAACCTAAAAGTAAGTACTCTTTATAAGCAACTAAAGAATGCATTATTCGTGATTATATTTATTAATAATTAATTGTAATTAATAATTATATATAATGATTTATAATATACATATTATAATTCATATACATAAATTACTCATTTTTTTTTAACCTAAACACTATATTAATTTAAAATAATATGATTTTTTTCTAATATTTTCCCCCGGTCTATATGTCTCTGCATATGTCTCTGCATCTGCTAAATGATTTTTTTTTATTCCCAGTGAATAGGAATTAAAATTCCCACCCGAGTGACTCTACTCCAATAACAGACCATGCAAAATACCAAAAGTTATATCTTCAACATACGTTGTCTATGACCAAAAATGTAATAAGTATCAAAAGTAATCTAAAAGTAGTCTTATATTACCTTAAATGTGTAATGTAATGCATATGTTTTCAGTGGACTATATATATATATTTTTTTTTACTTAAATTTACATTTATTTTACATTATTTTATATAGAAATGAAAATTGTGAATAATGCACCATTTATTTCTATATATAGTATAAAAAATATTAGAAAAAAAGTGTTTAAGGAATAAATAAAGTATCATTTATTTCTATATATATATTTTGAATATTGTCTAGTACTATCAAGTCAAAATTCTAAATAATAAGAAATAAGTATGGACACAAAATACAGTGCTTTTGGTTCATTGTAAAAGTTGGACTTGTTGTCTTGGCTGAACACAGCAGCTCCTCTGATCCTCCTGTTTTCTCCAGGGCTGTGAGACGCTGGACGAGGAGCTGACCGATGCGGATCTCCTGCGGGATCTGGATCTGGACGCTCTTTCTCAAAGCACCGGCAGCGTCCTGAGCAAACTGGACTGGGCCGCCATCGAGAGGATCGTGGCAGAGCAGCAGTGAAGGAGACGTTTTCCACAAGCGTCCAGACGCTGCTGACTGTGATTGATTGTGCTGTGTGTTTGTGTGTGTATCATTAGTGTCTGTTTGAGCAGAATAAACAGGAATCTCTGGCAGGTGCGTGGTGTTGTTGGATTCATTTCAGAACGCAGAGCCTTCCGGAAACTATACGACGGCTTTGAAATGTCTTTAACATGTCATTTTGCATTTCTAAAAATTGTTTACTGAAAATCCTTTAATAAAATGAGATGATGCCAACCCTGAAACAACATAAACTACCACATTTTGCTACAAGTTTGATTGCAACACATAATCATTGCTGTTTGATTACGTCATTAACTGAATTTTACCGTACATTTCTGCCATATGTACATCAATTTGACACAGTCACCACTGACAAGCTACTACTAAATATATTGTAGAAACTTAAATTTTCTGTAAAGCTGCTTTGCAACGATTTGTATCGCGAAAAGCGCTATACAAATAAACTTGAATTAAAACGTGCAACAGGCGTTAATACGAAACTGAAGATCTCATATCTCCCATTTTTTTAATGACATGATCATCAATAACACATTAAATATGAGCTCCGGACATCATCGGCTTGAACAAAGCGTAATTTCTGAAAAAAATAAAAATAATTAGCTTTTTTTTTTTTTTTTTAGATAATAATAAAAGCATTTTGTCTTCAGATTCGTTTTAGTACAGTCGTGTATTTATATTATAAGGTTCATAAATAGCATATTAGTAATAGCATTTCTAATACAATTATTAATTTTTACTTATATCATTTATAATGATTAATTATTGTGTATGAGTAAATAAAGCAATAAGCCCAGTGAAGCCGTGGTTTACAGTGAATTTATAACAGCTAAGGGTAGTTGTTAGGCACGAAGCGAAGCTAGCTGTTATAAATTCACTGTAAACCACGGCTTCACGGGAGTTATTGCTTTTATAAAACGGTTATTCCATATACGTAGTAAGGTTTCACAAAATAAAACAGAGCAAATAA